CAAATCACCTTTTTGCCTCCTGGTAATATTTCATTTGCTTCATAATGTTTTAAATGTGGTGAATAACATCCTTCCTAATTAGCCTGAATTTCCCTATAAGGTGGAGTAATTAGGTATGATACCAGGTAATGAAGTTGGACAGTACAAATTAGAGACAGAAACCATGTCCTTTATGAATATGGGCTGTTCATGGTACTAGCTATTTACTTCCTTGATTAACCCTGTAAAACCACGTCGTTTAAAAAAAAAAAGAAAACAATCTGGAAACCTGAAACCAGAAGATTCTCTCTTTTCCTTCAGCAAAGCACCGCATCAGACAGACGTACCACGGAGGTGTGTACTTCATGGCACACCATGATTATTAATTACACGGGAAATACTGTTCCAGTAGGATTTGCGGGGGGTGCCCGTTTCTCAGCCTCTGTCACCCAGAGGAGGTCCCTCGCTGGAGCCCCGAGCAGGGTCTGTCCCGTGACATTCCACAGCGCCGCTTCGTAACGCAGTAATTGAATTGTGCTGCCGTCCCTCTCCAAATAAAAAGAGACAAGGTGGTTTTGATCCTTTTCTTTATTCCAATGGTTTTTATTGGTACATTTATATTCTGCCTTGTTTTTTTAATACTATGCTTTAGGGCTTTTAAACACGCTCTGGTGGTTTGTGAAGATAGGGTTAAGCCTCGTGTGCTCTCCTTATTTTGGCCCATAGTCTCAGAAACGTATAAGCAAAACAGTATTTTAAATCAAGTGAGTTACGTGGTGAGCATCGCTAAAATCTGTTTTAGGCTTATTTAGCAATTTCAAATATTCTTCTGCTGTTTCAGAAAACACGTCATGGATAACGTCCTGGTTTCAGCTGGGACAGAGTTAATTTTCTTTCTAGTAGCTGCTGTGTTTTGGATTGAGTATGAGAATAATGTTGATAGCACATGTTGTTTTAGTCATTGCTAAGTAAAGTTGACATTGGCTGAGGACTTTTTCAGGTTCCTGTAGAAGCTGAGAGGGAGCATAGGCAGAACGAGTTGGCCAAAGGAGTATTCAGTGACACAGAGTCGCGCTCAGTATATAAATGGGGGTTGGCCGGGGGGCAGAGATCATAGAATCATAGAATTGCTGAGGTTGGAAGGGACCTTTAAGATCAAGTCCAACCATTAACCAACCCTGACAAAACCACCTCTAAACCACGTCCCCAAGTACCACATCTACCCTTTTTTTAAACACCTCCAGGGATGGCGGATCCACCCCCTCCCTGGGCAGCCTCTTCCAATGTTTAATAACCCTTCCAGTGAAACAAATGTTCCTAATATCTAATCTAAACCTTGTCTGACATAACTTTAACCCATTTCCTCTCATCCTAAATCCACGATCCGCGATCGCTGCTCAGGATGGGCCGGAGAACCCATCATCAGGTGGTGAGAGTGACTTGCATTGTATCACTTTATTTTGTGTATATATATTTTTTTTTTCCCTCTTCTGTTACTGTTCTCTTAAACTGTTTTTATCTCAACCCATGATTCCCCCCATCCCTTTTCTCCCTGTTCTCCCTGCTTTGCCGGGGAGGGGGGTCTGGAGGGAGAGAGCGGCTGCGGGGCCCTAGGTGCTGGCTGGGGTTAAACCACGACACACAAGTATTTAACTGTAAAAACATGTTAAAAAAGGCTAAAGCACAATTTATCGAATTGCATAAACTGACCTTCCCATTTGCTTAGGTCCCCAGAAAATGACTTGTTCTTAGGTAATGAAGCCATAGTCTTTGTGGATGATAGCCGCACCGTTCAGGCAGCCTTTGGTCAGCAAGGCGGTGTGTGGTGTCTCTTTTCAGAGGTGGGTCTGTTCTGTGCCTGACGGTGCCCGGACCGTTCGCTCGGGTCAGCCCTAGGAAGGCTTTGCAGGTGTGTAATATTAAGGTTGTGTTAGCCTTCAGCTGTGTGTGATCTGCTGAGATCAGGGATGGAACACTTGTCTGAGAAGAATGCCCTCCTTTGCGTTAAGGGGAGTGTTGTATCTGTGCTCTTCATTAGCATTTCTGGAAAGAAGCCATTGGACTGGGAACTAATTGTTCTGCAGAGTAGGTAGGTACACACGTAGTGCTACTGTCAACAAAACATAACCCTCCTAGGTGGATGCATTGATTATATGAAAAATGTTTTTACCACTCCCTGGAGCCTATTTATAACCCAAAGTGTTTCAAACCTGCCAACAGTATTTTAATTATCGAAGATATTTGAGTGTATTCAAACAATGCATAATGCTAATGGTAATTATCTCACATTCATATAATGTCTAACAGCCAAACGCATCCCAAAGACCTTCACGAACTTTCAGGTGTCATGTGCAGCGTGTAGTCCTTTACTTGTGCAGCGAAATGCAGCACTTACCTGCGATTAGCGGGAGTTTGGGGAGCATTTTGCAAAAGAGCGAGCTGTCCCTTCGTTCACGGGGTGGTGAGAGGGAGCGACAACCAGGGCGAGCCAGGTTTGAGCGGTGCCCGGTCTCCTCTCACGAAGGCGCTGGGTCCTCTGGGCAGTGACAGCCGCCCCGCTGGTCACTGCCCTGTCCCGTCTCTGCCGGGTCGCTCCCTGGCAGCAAACCCTGTCTGCGACGCTCCATCGCCTGGGCACAGCCCGGCTGCCGTGGGGCGCGCGCCTCAGAGGCTGCGATGGAGGCGGCCGTGCCGGCGCGGTGGCGCACGGCGGTGTCTCTCTCCCTGCCGGTCCCCAGCCGCCCCTCTGGACGTGGTGCCCCTGGACGGGGGCCGGAGCCGCCCCAGCCACTGCGCCATTGCCGGCTCCTCTTCTCCAGCGTATTCACCCCAAAAACATCCGGAGCTGCCCTCCGTAACGCGAGTGCTGCCAGGGAAACGCAGGTCAGCTGCTCGGTATTTAAGTGCGATGGGGTCTCATTATACACCTGATCTCTGGGTGTATAAACAATGCGCAAATCGTACTGGCGTCGCCAAGAACATTTTCCAGGTCATACCACGTCTTGAATCATTTCACTCCCTTTCATCACCCCCTTTAGACCGAAACTGCATAAAGCTTTAACTTTGATGCCAAATTGTGAATAACATTAGTTTAACCTGAAATTTAAAGCCAGCGTTTCCGTGCTCCAGAGACAGGGTCTCCCCGGCCTTTTGCTACCATGCAGCTAGCAACCAGAATTTTAATTTTATAAGCCATGGTTGACTAAACCCAGCACTAGGTCTATTAGATATTATTTGATTTAGAATAGTAAAAAAAAAAAAAGAAAAAAGATTTAAAGATACACTGCTCTCTTATATCCCTCTGTGTTTTTTCACAGCTCTGTACACACGCGTAGACTTTCCGCTCAGAGGACAGGTTCAGGGTTTTTTTCCTGTGTGGAATAAACAGATCCTTGCACTTTACCAAAGCCAACGTTGTCTACTCTTGATTTAAGTGCATGACTTTGTCTAAACAGGTAAATACAAAGCTAAAAATGCCTAAATTGCCAAACTAAAATATAGAAGGAAGTTTCAGCAGTAATTGCTGACACCAAATAACCTGTTCAGGGTATGCGGTTTGTTACAGAGTCACTTAGGCTGAAAAAGTGTTTCTGCGGGTCAGTCCCCCACTTTGAGAGGTCTGTCTTAAAGCAGTCCAGTTTTGTGGACACGCAGTGTTTTCTGCAAAATCCAGGTGCACTGAAGGATGATCTCAAATCAATAGTCCTCTGTGAACAATCTTGTCCACGGGGCATCGCCCGTGTTACTGATGGCCAGCAGATGCCTGGGGACAAAACCGGTGTCTGCAGCAACAGCGGCGTGTCTTTGCGCAGACTGCCTCTGATCCTTGCCGTCAGAAAACTTGATGCAGAATCCACCAGAGGTGGTCTGAGTGGTGATACACCTCTGCAGACTACTTGGACAGGAAGCCACTGCAACACTCATGAAAATCTTCTTGTTAACGATGCATTTGAATTCTGCTCCTCAAAACTGTCTTGGCAGCGAGAGTCTATTTTTAAAACATTCCCTCCCTCTGTCTGGTGCGGTGTTGCCATCTGGAGAAGAAATCTGATATTTACTGTTGTTCCTGGAGTTCCACCTCCTGGAGTCCTGGGAATACTGCAGACCTCAGCTTTCAGCGCATAAAAGACACATTTCGAGCACTGACAGGTGAAGGAAAAGTAGAAAAACCACTGTGAATCTGCAAAAAGCAAATTGAAACAAGGCCCTCTATTGCGAGCGTCTTTTTGAACTGCCAATCTAAACATTTCTCAAACTCGTCTCATGGCTTTTCAGCCATGGGCAATCACTTATGACTTCTGCTAAAAAGCTCTGCCAAAGGGGAGAGAGAGGAAATTGTGCCCTGGAGCCCCGGCTTTCATCGTGCTGATAAGCTGCAGAAAAACCCAGCGAGAGTGCAGTGCCGGGAGGGTGCGTGGCGTCGGGCCCTGCTGAGGGAGCTGCAGCCCCAGGGACGTCCCGTCGCAGTATGTCACGGGCAGTGCTGGTGGCTTGGAGGTCGCCTGGCCGGCTGCTGCCAGCGGGAGGTGGTGCTGGACGGAGTCCCTGCTCCCTGACACCAGCACGGCATAGCTCAGAGCTCGGCATGGGGCGGAGGTGAGCGAGACCTGCAGGTCCCGCAGGACGGGGGTGAAGCGTATGGGCCGTGACTGGGCAAAGGGGATCTGCTGGGGCTGACCCGGGTGGACTGTGACTGACTGACATCAGGTGCTGTACTTATCCTCCCATGTCCTCCTGGATCCAGACCATGAACCAGGCGGTGGTGTAAAAGTGATGCGAGCAAAGATGTGACCATTATCCTTTGTCCCGCCTTTAAATTAAGTGTGAAACCATGGATGGTAAATTGTGTTGAGGGTTGGCTGTGGTGGAAGACTGGTCAGATAATCTTCTGGCAATACACATCTTGCTTGTAACCTCCTTTCGGAGAGTCCTCATGGTGTCACCATGAATGAGACACTTCTCTGTAGGTCTCATCATTGTGATGCTTACTTATCCTCTGTCTTCTCTCTCTTCTTTGAAAGGTATTCAGGAATCTCCAGTACCAAACGGCCATTCTCTCCCGGGCAGAGATTTTCTTCGGAAACAGATGCGAGGAGACCTTTTCACTCAGCAGCAGCTAGAAGTGTTGGATCGAGTCTTCGAGAGGCAACATTACTCCGACATTTTCACAACAACTGAGCCCATCAAACCAGAGCAGGTACTATTGCAAACATTCAGTGTTTTCCAGATGTGCTTTCTGCTGGCAGAGATCTGCTTGGTGGACGTCACCAAACACTTCTCAGAATCTCAGTAGGAAAACATGTAGAAAAGGTGTCATATCAAGCCCTTTTATGGCACATTAGCCATAAAAGACTTGAGAATTAAAAAATGAAGGAAAACGCCTGTTGTGTAAACTTTAGCAAGTGTTTGGGTATGAAATTACACCTGATCTGGGCCAGTTACATCAAATGAGTCCTTAAAGAGCATCACAGCTTCTGATGCTTTTGTTAGATCAAAAGCAGGCTACGCAGGTAACAAGGAGAAGATTTGCAAAACTCAGTGCCTAATTTTGGTTCATAGTTAGCATGATTGTGCACACAAATTAGATTTTTGTACCCAGAAATGGCTTATTAGGCATGTAATTGGCCATTTGCCGAGAGAAACACCCAATTAGTGTGTGAAGGTAAATTAGTTGCACCTACAGATTAGCAGTGTGTTTGAGAAGGACTTGGCACTAATTTTTTGGGAAAGTTCCATTTTTGCAGGCGCAATACAGAAGCACATGCAAAAACTGATGAGCTCCGTCTCTCTGTGTTTTCTTCTTCTTGGGTGGCAGCCTTTAATTTAGCTGCTGAGAGGGAGGTGGAAAAGCATATATTGCTGTCAGCACCAATAGTAGCTTTCTACTTAATGATGTATCCGGCCATTAATCTTCAGTGTTCTTAGTATTAGACCTGCTTTTTAGCGAGGTGGATGAACTCTCGAACTGCAGGCAAACACTGATTTCCCTTGGAAGAATCTATACGTTTGAGAGCCACTGGCGATTATCTCATGGCAGCCAACTGCCATCGTGGCTCTAGTTAAGGAATATGTATTGGTATCAATTTTTTGAAAAATTACTTACTTAGGCTGAAAGTCATATGGTAGAGTAGAAATTCCTCATGCCTTTAAGCTCACCTCTGTCGTTTGTTATTTCATTTATAGAGCCATTTGTTTTTCACTAGCATCTGCTGGTTTTGTGCTTTCTGGTTTGTATTCCCTGAGAAACTCTGCAGATCTGAACTCAAGCTGGAAAAAGACCGGGGAAAGCGCTGAGGTCAATTTGATTTTTTAAAAAAACTCGTTAGGAAAGCCAAAGAAGCGGTGTCTCTGGAAGGTGAAGTGGCCTTCACGTACCACTAGATGGTGGTTAACCCATCTGAACACGGGTGATACTGGAGAGGACAGGCACTGCGCCCACTCCTGCAGCCAGCCTTCCCAGTGCTGGTCACTTAGGAGTTGTGTGGTGTTAGATCTGTCCCTCTTTCACTTTTACATGCCAAAAAAAGTCATTACAAAGAGAGTGGTGATGGAAGAGGATCGTTTCTTTGTTTCTGTGTTCTGAAGTCTCTGAGTCCTGTCACTGCAGCTCCAGGGAGGCAGTCCATCAGTGAACGTTTATCCAGAGATAAACTTTTGCTGGTTTAATAGGAAGAATGGGAGAATTGAATGAGGATGTTGCTGAAGTATTATTAACTTGAAGATTGTCAAGTACGGGATATTTGGCTGTTGGTGGAGCAGGGATCTCCCTGTGTCCATGTAAGCAGCTGTGACTAGAATGGCTGTGCCGCCAGAGAGGTATGCTCTGAAGATATGCTCCTGTTAATCTGGTTAACGGGGTACTCTCTGCATGCCTTGGGAAGTCAGACAGATGCTGAGAAATGTGTTACAAAAGGTGCTCTGCAGAACCACCTTGCCCAGGCGTTTTTAAGTTTAACTACAAATGGAGTGCGTAGTTGTTTGCTTTCACATGGGTCAGACCATTGTTGCTTGCTTTTGGAAGGCTGTGCCATGGTTAAGGGCTTGCGGCTGTTTAGGGTTGGCTTCTGTTTTTCGTGGCATATAAAGTGTGACTTTCAACATGAATGCATGAGATGTGTATGATCAGCTCTGGTTCACAAGGATGCAGCATGACCTCCACCCCTTTCCCAAGCAGTCGCGTTTTACCTCTTTGGCGAGTCAAGCAAAGCTGTCGTGACTCAACCAAAGCGGAGAAGCTGTCTGGATCAATTAGTAAGGCCGAATAAATCAATGAGAGAGAAAATTCTGAGATCATTAATGATGTGACTTGGAAAACCAGAGTTGTCCCTGCAATAGATCGTTGTAGTAAACCAGCACCTACCTCCAGCATCTGGCTGTGGGGAGTGCGCGGAGCCCAGAAGCCGTGTGTTAGGAGCTCAGTCAGCGGTGGGTGTACGGAGTCCCGACCTATTTCTGCAGAGGAAAATAAGGAAATGATGCTCCTCCTCGTAGGGACGAGATGTGGGGAGAAGTCTAGGAGGAGCTGCTCACCCACTGCTGATTTGTTTTATTAGAAACTTGGTCCAGTAGCAGCTGGCTGAACATCACTAACTGTACTTGGGCACAGAAACTTGTTGGTGTTCCTGTGTTGTTCACCTGAGGAGGGCTCCAGCTATTTTACTGGAAGAGTTGCTATTCTCTAGACAAGGAAGTTCCTTTCCCTCCCTGTTTTGAGGCTCCTCTCCAAGTCTTCCTCCTTCCTTGGGCACTGGGAACAGTGCCCTGTGGCACAGCAAAGCGTTTGCAGCCGCAGCATCCTCGGTCCCCGGCTGAAGGCTGGCTCCTGCTGCCCAAAGTCCTCCTGATGCATTTTCTGGACAAAATTTGGACTTGCCTGTTGGAAGGTGTACATTGCCCCTCCAGTAGGTAGTGGTGTGGATGGGCTGTGTGGGAGTGCTTGCTCACTGCTGCCACAGTGCTTCCAGTCTGTTTCCTTTGCTTTACATCTTTAATGTTTCCTTCAGTTCACCTGTATAAAATGGAGTCTTGTGAGTTATTTCTCCCCTCAAAATACGTTGTGCTCTTGACAAGCATCATCTGAGTTTTCACATCTGCTGTGAGCTGTGCCTTCCATGGAAGGACCCATAGGGAATGAATACTTCTCTTTGGGGAAGGACTCAGGCAATGCTGAGAGAGAAGGCATCCGCTGGACTACGACAGGAAAATAAAACAGCAGACAGTCCTTTGTTCAGGAACGGTGCCCGTGGCAGGCGCTGGGTGAGGCAGGGGTCCCACCGTGGGCTCCTGTAATTAAAGGCTGTGTCCGGCTGTGTGCATCGGGGGGCAGACTTAAGGCGTCTCCGATTTTTTGCCTCATTTTGCCACCTGGAGCGCGGCAGTGCGGCCGTGCATGCGGTGCGTGTGCGCTGCAGCACAGGTATGTGACAGCGATGGGTGCGGAGCATAAGAGGTGCTCAGTGGCGGGTGATGTCACTCATCTGGGAGTCCCGCGGCTGAGGGGTGGCTGTCCGCGTCCTCTCGTGTCTGTGTGTCACGGGGAGTCACCACGGCATAAAGTCTGTTCTCTGGAAGCGCCCTGGCCCCCCTGCCCCCGACAAACCTGCCACAAACATGAATCCGTGTATAAAATGAACGCTTTTCCCTCATGTTTGTGCCCTTTTGCGCGCATTATTTTGCAAACAGCCTGTGATCGATTTGCACTGGCTGCGAATGTTCGTGGAAAACCGATTTCACGTATTTCTGGGCACGGATTTGGAAGTGCACGTAGTGGCGTGTTCGCAGCACCGCCGTTGCGTTGCTGTTCTGCTCACGGCCGCGGCCACCAGCACTGTATGCTCCTTCATCGCCTGGGGCAAAGTCCGTGGATTGAATGTCGCGTCATCCTCGGGTGTCAGTGAAGGAAAGCCTCCATGGCGTCGGCCTCCTGGGCTGCAGCAGCTCCTGCTCTCCTCCCTGCGCCGCTCGACATGCGTGGGGACGGGCCCCGCTGCTCCCTGGGGTCGGCTCTGCGGTGCAGTAACACTCCACGGGGGAGGCTGGTCACAGTGCTTGTCCTCCTCCGAGCAACGCCGCGCTGATGCAAGGAGCGGCTTTCCCCTGCCTGCCCTGGAGTTGCGCTGTACAGCTACGTCCGTGGCGGACCACAGCACTCCCACCTGGCCGCTGTCACGGCAAAACCCTCCGTTCATGGCCGCTGCACTGCCAGGTCAGGTTTTATCCAGAACTGGGGCTCATCCCATGTCCTTCCTATGCACAGAGCTGCTGCACCGGCTGGTGTCACCTGCCATTCCTTCGTCCATTAGGAGCCTCCAGCTGGAGGAGCGGGAGGAGCTGGCTGTACTCAGCGGTCCTCTCTGTGTGGCCGTGAGGCCGATCGTCCCCCACTGGCGTCCCGCGATTCCAGCTAGAGGGATGGAGGAGCTCTGCCCGGGGGAGCCGTCCCGGGCTGGCTGAGCCCGTGGTGTCCCTCTTGTGAACTGTCGACTCAAACGTTCTCCAGTTAAAGCAGGAGATGTTCCTGGAGATCAGCCGAGACCTGGGAGACATCTGCCAGCTGGGGCAAGGGGGGCTGGATGGCGCCGGGGGACGCCCGGGGCTCACAGACCGGTGTGGTTTTGGTGGCTGAGACAGCAGGAGGAAGGTCTCTGCCAGGGAAGACGGCGGGATGAAGGATGTACAGCAGGATGGGCTCTCCGGGAGAGGCAGTGCGTTAATTTCCTCAGAATAAAGAAGAGAATTATCTATGCTGGTTTTCTGTCCACAACAGAAATGGATTCTCTTGTATTTTCAGCTTCACACATGGGTCCAATCGAATACTCATTGAAGCCAAGAGGAATATTTCTATTGACTTCAATAGACTTCAGATCAGGGCCATAATGAGGCATAACATGATGTGACCAGATTCAACACTATGTAGGTCACCGACTTTGAAGAGAACAGCGTGCTGCTAACAGCGGATAATTCCCAGGCCCTTGCTGATGCTTTCCCATTGCTTTTAGCTAGGACTAAAGTGAATATCTGTTCTCATACTCATTTCTGGATAAAATGTAGATATTCTGGGCTTAGGTAGAAACCAGGCGAACATGTACTAATACATGTATTCATGACATGCAGTGCAGGTGAGACTGGATCTGGAGATAAGCAGAGGCAGATGAAATTTGGATAAATAATGAACCTGAAAAAATTACTAATAAATTG